ATATATATATATATCTATATATATATGATAGATAGATAGATAGATAGATAGATAGATAGATAGATAGATAGATAGATAGAGACAGAGAGAGAGAGAGAGAGACAGAGAGACAGAGACAGAGAGACATACACATGGCAGATAAATCCCTTACCACTCAGCTATGGACACAAGGAGAGAAATAAGATACACGATGAGAGAGAGAAACGCCCTCTAATGATCACCTATATGTAGGCACCTCTTAAAATGGTAAATGACTTGTATGGATTCCATCAGAGTCTTAAACCAGCTCTACCTGTATTGCTGTATCATCCTCATTGCAACAGCTTACCCATGGCAGCTATGAAATCCTCATTACCTGACAACACTTTAGGAGAATTGGAAATTAAGTTATTGGATTAGAGACATTAGAGAAAAACAGAAGAGTATCACCGCATTCTCAGTGTTAGATCAAAGTTGTGACATAGTTCTTTGTTTCTCAAACTTGGCAACTTTAAGATGAGTGGATTTCAGGATGGCTGGCTGGGGAATTCTGGGAGTTGAAGTCCACATATCTTGAAAGTTGCTAAGGTTGGGAAACACTAGTTTAGGGAAGTGGTGACATTGCTATCCTTCCTAGACAGAAGAGGCCTTGCTTAGTTATCTGTGCTCAGATAATTTTACAAATAAATCATTATCTTTCCTGAAAATTCCAACTCCCCTCCATTATTACTGGGAATCTAATTAGCTGTTCGTAAATAGGAACATAGGTTTCCGGTACATTTCCAAATACAGTACAGGATGCAGGTGCTTGCTTTAAAAAGACCTGGATAAGTTGGGATCTTAACAGCTGTCAAAACAGTCTTTCAGGCTCATATTGTAGATAATCCCAAGAAGCTTTGATGTGTTTTGAGATAAAAAGCAATTTTGGGAAGGACATTCATAAATTTGGGTCTACCTTTGGAAAAAGGTGGTTCAGTGGCTAAGACGCTGAACTTGTTGATCAGAAAGGTCAGCAGTTTCGTGGTTCGAATCCCTAGCGCCACGTAACAGAGGGAGCTCCCCTTATTTGTCCCAGCTTCTGCCAACCTAGCAGTTCGAAAGCAAATAGAAAAATAGGAACAACCTTTGGTGGGAAGGTAACAACGTTCTGCGTGCCTTCGGCATTTAGTCATGCCGACCACATGACCACGGAGATGTCTTTGGACAGCGCTGCTGGCTCTTCACCTTTGAAACAGAGATGAGCACTGCTCCCTAGAGTTGGGAACGACTAGTACATATGTGCGAGGGGAACCTTTACCTTTACCTTGGAACCAAAAGTTAATGAAGGCCACTAGTTCATATCAACTGCCCTCTTAATGTTTTACAATATCATAAGTGAAGAATTTCTGATGTATTTTTTTCCAAAAGCCCTTCTGTTTAAAATGTATATTTTACAATGCAGTTCTTGTTGGCATTCTTCTAAAAGAACACCTGAGTTTGAATGATAGGTATATATTATACTGAATTGGCTCTTGTTCTTTTGTAAACTATGTATTTTTTTCCAAAGCCAGCTAAATGTTTTTGTTCTATTCAATCTATGTTTTCATTTCCTAGCCTATTGAGTTAAAGTTATTAAAAAAAAACTGTTATTCAGAGAATGTTTGCCCAAACAACTATAGAATGAATGAATGTGATGGTCTGATTTGCCTCAAATTTCCTTTCCCATAAGAAAGAAAAAAATTAAGAAGGCATCCCCATCAATATGATCTAGTTTTTATTCAATTACAATGATGAAATTAAAAAAAGTAATAGGGTTTTAAAGATCTATTAACTTGTTTCTTTTTAAAAGTTTTCATTTTTGAAATTAGATATAATTTGGCATTTAAAAAATTTGTTCAGCTTTTAATTTTTTTCCTTCTTTGATTTCCAGCTTTTCTTTTTCTTTTTAACTACAGAAATTATTGTTTAGTAGGTTAGCTTTTATGTATAGGTGCAAAAAGGAGGGAGTGGGAGGGGTGGGGCCAGTCAATGGTGTGATTTACCGCTTCTCCGAACTGTATGTAATCGCCGTCGGTGGTTCTATAGAATCTGTCCGAACCGGCTGAATCTCACCCCTGCTTGTAAGGGCTGACAGAGCCTCTGCCTTGCTGAAGCAGGGCGAGAGGCCACAGTGAGAACTGGGTGGGTGTGTTTGTTTGCAATAGGACTTTGGAGCCAAGCAAGCAAGAGATAATTCTGCTTAAATAAAGTGCTTTTGATTTCTGGCTCTCTGCAAAGGAAAGAGCCCAGGGGACAAAATGACATTTTAAACAGCTACCCAGGGAAAATCAATCAAGAGCCTTTGTGGCTTTTTAAAGACCAATAAAGTTAGGGTTAGTCTTTTAAAGTGCTATCACATCCTCCGGGTCGCTTGTTTTGTCGTCTCCCCGGGGAATTCAATCACCTACAGATAAATACCCCTCCTTGTAGGAAAATGGGATTCTTGACCCTCCTCTGCCAAAAGCCATTGTTTGTTGAAATTGTGCCCCTACAGATGTGCCTTAAATGCAAGCTTCCTGCCAAATTAAGGGGGCAGATACAGAGGTATAACAGTCCCCCTACCACTCTTAAAGGTAAAGGTTCCCCTCACACATGTGTGCTAGTCGTTCCCGACTCTAGGGGGTGGTGCTCATCTCCGTTTCAAAGCCAACGAGCCAGCGCTGTCCAAAGGCATCTCCGTGGTCATGTGGCCAGCATGACTAAAAATCGAAGCCACACAGAACGCTGTTGCCTTCCCACCAAAGGTGGTTCCTATGATTCTACTTGCATTTTTACATGCTTTCAAACTGCTAGTGTGGCAGAAGCTGGGACAAATAACGGGAGCACACTCCATTATGCAGCACTAGGGATTCGAACCGCCGCAGATTTCTTTACCCTTAAACGTTTCAAAATGAATTAAAAGCAGAGCGGACTTGCAGCTTCTTGCATTCTCTTTCACTAATAAATAAAAATGGTTATTTGATCACAGCCCAGAGCATTCACAATGGGCTTACCACTTGTGCAGAAGAGATGGCGGAGTAATGAGTATCTACAAGATAGATGAATGGATAACCACAACTCAAGATTGAATTGCGGTGTCTTTGGTGCTCTCTGAGCTTGGTGGTTATCTTACAGACATTTCATTGCTAAACTAGGTAACATCATCAGTACCAATGGAACAGAGGTGGTATTCAGCAGGGTCTGACCAGTCCTGGAGAAACGGTAGTGGAAATTTTGAGTAGTTCGGAGAACTGGCAAACAGCACCTCTGGCTGGCCCCACCCCCATCTATTCTCTGCGTCCTGAGTCCCAGCTGATCGGGAGGAAGTGGGGATTTTACAGTATCCTTCCCCTGCCATGCCCACCAAGCCACGCCCACAGAACCGGTAGTATACATTTATGAACCTCACCACTGCAATGGAACATCTGCAAGAAAATTCTAATTCTAAAAACACCAAGCTCAAACAGCACCAAAGACCCCGATGCTTTTAAGCAGGCGCTTAAAGTTAGGATTTCTGCCCAGACTGATCATACCTGAAGAATATAGAGGGTTTCCCCGTGCAATTCCGTTTTCTGAGCATGCCTCGAATGTCACTCGCCAGTCCTCGACTTATGACCATAATCAAGCCCCCAAATTTCTGTTTGGAGAGGAGAGCCACTTGTTAAATGAGTTTTTGCTCCATTTGAACTATCTTTCTTTCAACTGCAGTTGTTAAGCGAATCGCTATGGTTGATACGTTACTAACCCGGTTGTTAAGTGAACCTGACTTCCCCATGGACTTTGCTTGTCAGCAGGTCGCAAAATGGGATCACATGACCTTGGGACACAGGAACGGTCATAAGCATGAACCAGTTGCAGAGCATCTAAATTTTGATCATATGATCATGGGGATGCTGCAAAGATCGTAAGTGTGGAAAAACTGGTCTTTGGTCTCTTTTTCAATGCTGTTGTAACTTTGACCAGTCCCTAAGTGAATTGTTGTAAGTCAAGGACTACCTGTATAGGTTTGATGGAGTGTCTAGTTCTTCAACAGTGTCTTCCTTCCCTTCTACAGAACCTGCTGGAGTCATGTGGCCCCTCTTCTGGGTGGGCATACGGACCTATGCTCCTTACGTCACCTTCCCTGTCGCCTTTGTGGTCGGGGTGGTGGGCTACAATCTTGAGTGGTTCATCCGGGGCAAGCCCCCGCCGCAGACCCCCGAGGACGAGAAAAGCATTTCGGAACGACGGGAGGACCGTAAGCTCCAAGAGAGCGTTGGGAAAGACTTGACCCAAGTGGTCAGCTTGAAGGACAAGCTGGAATTTGCTCCCAAAGCTGTTCTCAACCGGAACCGGCCCGAGAAGAATTAAGGAACCTGGTTTGTTTCCTTGTTGGCCAGTTAACATTTTCTTTTTTTTATTGGAGGTCAGAATTCTCTGATTTTTGAATGTTGGTTTCCTACCACTGCTGAGTCCATGTAATGTATGTTTGCCATTCTTGCCAGGTTAAGCAGATTTCTGCAGCTGCTGGGATCCCACAGGAGATGAAGACGGACTTCACAAATCTTGATATTTGTTGTTGACTTCAGAATCTCCACTCTTCCATAAAAGGTTCTTTATCCTCTACTGGAATATCTTCCATCGTCATGGCAGAATCCCAGTTAATGGAGACCCAAAAGATCAGTTCACATCCAAGGTGGGATTGGACTCTTAAGGGGATTGTCGCAAAGTACGTAGATCTCTTTTAAGGGAAGATCTCTTCTTCAAATAGCTCAGAGACTTTTTGACTCTGGACAAGTGAATGAAAAACGGTTCCTGTGTCTGCTGGAAACCTCCGTTCAAGTGGGACACACTCGGCTGGCTGCCAGAGGCCACTGTGGACCGTATTTGCACTGTCCCCTCTCAGGAAATTGTGTATTTCTTTCCCTGGGAATTTCTGTTGGGGAGTTTGTGCTGGTTTTTTGTTTTGTTTTTAAGAATACCAACCCACTGCTGAAATTAAAAGATTTAAATCAGTCTCTGTGTTTGGGGAGCTGTGCGTTTTATACGGGAGATGGCCGGTGGGAGAGGATAAATCTATCTGCAGGTTGTATTAGCTGTGCCTTTTGCATGCAAACTGCTTAAAAGAGTTTCATTTGTGTCTTAGGGGGTTCATTAATAAAAAGGAACGAAGGAGAATTTTACCCAGAGAAGTTCATATTATTATTATTTTTCTAAATGAATAAAAGTAACTTTGAATCTGCTGGAAATGCAAATTTGACATGGACTGTTCAGGTGCCTTTTTAAATACCCTACCCACTCTCTGCTTTGTTGCAATTTTGCATGTATTTCCTTCCAAATCAAAAGAAAAAAAATAATGGCTATCTGCAGTATGTGCATAGGAGAGATTATTTTAGTGTGTGTGTGTGTGTGTGTGTGTGTGTGTGTGTGTGTGTGTGTGTGTAGGCTCTTTTTAAAAGACTGCAGTGATGAAGAACCCACAACTTCTGAAGCCAAGCAGTTCCACTGGTTAATTGTTTGGTCATGAAGTTTCTCCTTAGTTCAATGTTGCTTCTCTCCTTGATTAGTTTCTTGTCTCACCTTCTGGTGCTTTGGAAAGTAGGTTGACAGCCTCTTCTTTGTGGTAGCCCCTCAAATATACTATAAATAAACACTATTATCATGTCATCCCTAGTCCTTCTTTAGTTGCTCTTCTCTGCACTCTTTGCAAAGTCCCAAGAAAGACTCAAGTGAGACTAGGATTGCCACAGTTGCTGTAAAAAACAATTATTCACTTCTTAATATTTCTATACTCTACTCCCAAAATCTCAGAGCTAAGAAAGGATTTTTAGAAATGACCACCAGATTATTAGTATTCCTTATACAGTAATTAACACGCTCTGAAGTTAAGGTGTCCTACTCCCCATCCCCACCTGAAAAGAACTCTGTTCCAACTGCCAGTTGCCTCACATTCTGTTACCTCAGTTCAAACTGGCAGACGTTCCACTCCTTCATTCAGGAGCTGCCTAAACATCAGTACCTCACCAAAATATCTATGCCTTTCACCTCTGGAACTGTTTCTGGACTCAAGGTGGCGGGAGCGATATTCCCTTATGTGTTTCCATCACCGACCACCACTGAACCAATGGATTGTGAACCGAATTTCTCCTGCATAGCCCAATCACATAGTTTCATCACAAATCACGGATATCCAGCTAGTGCATTATAATGGCATTGATTCACATGGGTAGACACCAACACTTGACACCACCAAATATTTCTTTGGGTTTTTTCATGTATCTTTACTTTTTATGCATTCTACTTTCTTGTGTCTTCAGCCTTTTCTCAGATGTTATTGGATAGGACTTGGTGCTAAGAGACTTATTGGAGCACCGGGAAAAATTGTGCAAGAATGAGCTGCTGCACTAATTGTGTGCTTTAGGACTTGCTGCCCACACAGGTTGACCCCATTTAACAACCACAATTGAAACTGGCAACTTGGTTAAGAAAGCAGCCAATAGTTAACGCCAGAATAGGGCTTGTGGTCTTCATAAGTGCTTTACTGACCTGTTATGATTGTAAGTATAAGGTTTAGTCGCCAAGTTACTTTTTCATCACTGTCGTAACTGCAAATGGTCACTAAATGAAGCAGTCGCTAAACAAGCACTACTTGTATGTGGTAAGTGACCGATCCAAGCGGGCCCATGGTTAGTTGAAACCTCTGTTCAGGCCACTGTGGACTGTATTTGCACTTTTTTTTTTTAAGAATACCAACCCACTGCTGAAATTTAAATCAGTCTCCGTGTTTGGGGAGCCGTGCATTTTATATAGGAGATGGTGGGTGAGAGAGGATACATTTATCTGCAGGTTGTATTAGCTGTGCCTTTGCATGCAAACTGTTTCAAAGAGTTTCATTTGTGTCTTAGGGGGTTCATCAATAAACAGGAATGAAGGAGAAATTTTACTCAGAGAAGTTCATATGTTGCTTGTCGATCTTTCTATAGCAGCGTTTCTCAATTTTGCAACTTTTAAAGATGTGTGGACTTCAACATCCAGAATTCCCCAGCCCAGCATGCTGTTTGTGGATCAACCGTGCTAGATGGGGAATTCTGGGAGTTAAAGCCCACACTTCTTGAATTTGCTGAGGTTGAGAAACGCCTACTGTACAGGACAAAACTCCAAGAAAACTGTGAAATACATTGAGCTGCCTATCATACATGTAGGCCTGTGGTTGGTTGAAAGAAGAGGTATTGAATTGACTGCATGAAAGACTTCTGCAAATAAACCATTTTGACTTCCTAATATGCAGCATGATGCATTTATAATTAATAATGAGAACACCATGAATAAATAAAAAAAGCAAAGCACTGTTCATTTACAAGCATCCAGGTCTCTATAAACTATTTAAAACTAGCTTGAACTGTGCGAGTGCATCAATGCTCCAGTTTCAGAATGTGCAGAGCACAAAGTGCTTAACCTGTGCCCTTCAACAAAGCACTCTGGATGAGCATGACAGTAAATTCTTGGCAAGCATGCATGCAATTTCAGACATTTTTAGCATAAAATATTTTACTATCATTCCACCCTTAACAATAATTTTTGAAAGTCGTTTGCTTTGCCTTGCTCTTCCTCAATTGATCGGATGCCAGTTCTTTTTCATCACTCTTTAATTCAAAACTTTTATTCCATTTTTTTTTAATGCAGCAGTAAAGTCTAAATGGATGGCAGAGAAAACAACCCCCAGTGGTTTTGAGTTTCTAAAATTATTTAAAATCAGTTAATGGGTTAACACATAAATAAACGTAAGGGACACGGTGGCTCAGTGGCTAAGATGCTGAGCTTGTTAATCAGAAGATCAGCAGTAAGACAGTTCAAATCCCTAGCGCCACATAATGGGAGGGAGCTCCCGTTACTTGTCCCAGCTTCTGCCAATTTAGCAGTTCGAAAGCATGTAAAAATGCAAGTAGAAAAATAGGGACCATATTTGGAGGGAAGGTAACAGCGTTCTATGCGCCTTCAGCATTTAGTCATGCCGGCCACATGACCACGGAGACGTCTTCAGATAGCGCTGGCTCTTTGGCTTTGAAATGGAGATGAGCACTGCCCCCTAGAGTTGAGAACGACTAGCACATATATGCAAGGGGAACCTTGCATAAGATATTTACCTTACATAAATAAACAGCATCAGTAATTGTATCTTTTTTTAAAAAATGACACCTTCCTAATTTTAAAGTCAAACAGATGTTTCAGTGATGGGAAATCCCACACGGCCAGTTGCCTTTCATATTTTAAATTCTACCATATCGATTGATAACCAGGAAAGATTTTTTTTAAAAAAAATCAAAATGTTGGCCATTACAATGCTGTTAATCTCCATCTGCAACATTCTGATAGTCCTGTTGCTTACCTTTAAATTTCCCTTTCACTTTACAATGTTTTCATCACATTCATTGTCTTCGTGTTCACTGCAAGTCTTGTTTATAAAGTGCATTGTTTTTTGTAATGTTTAGTTTATTTTTAAAGCAAAGATGGTCGTCAGTGGAACAGTTGTAAACTTTGTCATATATAGGTTTTCTGCTAGCCTATCACCATAATGGCAAACCTATGTCATGCGTGCCCAAAGTGGCATGCGGAGCCATGTCACCTGGCACATGCGACATCACCCGTTCCTCTTCCGGGTTTCTGATGTACATGCGCGTGTGATGATCAGCTGGCATTCCTGTGTATAGCAATGCCGGAAACTGGAAGAGCTGGTCTTCCATTTTACGGCGTGAGCATGCGCCCCAGCCAGTTGATGGTCGTGCATGTATGCGTGCTAGTAACCGGAAATTCATTTTCCTGTCTCTTGAGCAGCTCCTCTTCTGGATTGCAGTACTTGGCGCCGAAAAGATTTGCTATCACTGGTCTATCATTACAAAAAAGAATCAGTTTGGTACAGTGCCTTAAGCAGGGTAGGATAGGGACCAGGGGACTGTGAATTCTAGTTCCACCTTAGTCACCAAGCCAGCTAGGTGACTTCAGGCCAATCTTTCTATCTTAGTCCTAGGAAGGAGGTAAGGAAAAACCAATTCTTGCCAAGAAAGCTGTAAGGCGCGGTCCTGGCCATCACCCGTAGTCAATACTGTCTCAAAGGGACAAAAAATTACAATCCAAAAAACAAACCAGTTTGCTTAGCAGTTGAGTGAACCCAACTACAGACAACAGCAATTTCACTTCCCCCAAAATACATACATTTTTTTATATTAAAAGTTTTTTTTATTTTTAATTTTCAAAACAAACACATAAAATCTTCCTTTTTTACATACTGTACTGTAGAAAGTGTATCAGTTGGTTACAAAAGACTTTCATGCATCTCTTCCACTGTCATCAAACATAATTCATATTAACTCAAGTATTTTAACTCAGATATTTATACTAAAAATACATACATTTTTAAAGAGGAGCCAAACTCTAGTCCTGAAGCTTCACTAGGCTTAATTTAATTATGTGGCTTAAACTTAATAGAGGAAGGCGTTAGCTGAGGAGTAGAAGTGAAAGTGAGAGCAAATTTGATCTAATGATTAGGGTACCAGGTTAAGAACTGGGTGACTGTGAGTTCTAGTCCTACCTTAGGCACAAAGCCAGACAGATGGTCTTGCACCGGTCACTCTCTCTCAGCCCTAGGAAAGAAGCAAGGGCCAACTATTTCAGAAATCTTGCCAACATTATTAGTGATGGAAATCACCTTGATTTCAAGATATGTACACACATAAGCTCTGATGAGTTGAAAAAGCTTCTTGGATGAGAAGTGAAACGTCTTAAAAACAACAATCGGACAGTCCAGTTACTTCTTGAAAAAGCACCTTTGGGACATGAGAAAAGAAAAATAATATCTAAACCAGCATCTGACAATGAATTAGTCTGGAGTAAAAGGAGGAGAATACTTTTGTGTTAGTTATGTGTGAATGGAAAGAAAAAAGCAGATGGTTGCGACTATTGAACTCAGGTCCCCTCCTTTACCCCTTTCTTTGGCCGCCACATGCTGTTTTCTTTTCCTCCTTTATAGTGATTTTGGAGATCCCCACATTTCCAAAATCCTTCTGTCAGCTGCTTGTACAGTTTGCTTGTTTGCTGGTTTCCTCCAGTCGCGATTCGGGGTTAGAGGGCACCTAATTTCCTGCAGATGTGGGAAAGGGTCAAACAGCTGATAGCTTTGGATAAGCAG